TGTCACAGAAAAGTTCAACGATAGGACACGCAAGAGACGGTGCAGCACTATGGCTAGTAAGAATGAGTCCTTGTGTATGCCAAAATGGATGTTGAGCTGGTAATGGTTCTTCTCGACAAACGTCGATTATTGCACCTGCTAACCATTTCTGTTTCAAAGCCATGATGAGATCGGCATCGACAACTGCACTGCCACGTCCAACGTTGATAAACAGAGCTGTTGGCTTCATTCGAGCAAATAATGTTGCATTCCAAATATTCTGTGTTTTTGGCGTGTTAGGTAGGAGATTCACTGCGTAGTCTGCAGTTTCTACAAAGCGAGGAAGATCGTCCAGTGTTCCACAAAGACGAAATGGACTGAGAGAACGAGTTGTACTGACGATTCCAATTAGATCGACACCAAAAGGCGATAGCATTTGAGCGACAACACAACCAATATCTCCGGCTCCGACAATAAGAAGTTGCCGGTTTTTGAGAGTACCTGGTTGTAGATCACACCATTTCTCTTCTTTTTGATGATCGATTCGTTGCATTACTTGACGTTCGTGTGCGAGAAGATACGTTAACAAATATTCGACCATTAGCTGCCCGAAAACACCGACCGCTCTGGTCAATATATAATCGTGCGGTAAATCATCTGCCAACAATGGTGAGACACCTGCCCAGGTCGATTGAATCCATTTAGGTTTGATATTCAAACGCAGTAGTTCTGCAACTAAATGAGGATCTCCTAACCAAATAGGACATTCTCTAGCGGCATCGATCACATTAGATGCCTCGTCGCTTGCAGTAAACTGTAAACTAAGATTTGCTTTCGATAATTCATCAGTGTAGAGATTATAGTCAGATGCAAGGACGAGTATATGCATCATTTACAATGAAACCGCGTTGTTTGTATCTCAAAACTAAATTCGAGATATGCACTTCTTTTCTTCCCCTCTACGCAATGATAAGAACGAGTGCAAAACAAATATGTTTTATTCTTCACCTCATAAAAAAAAGACGTTTAGTTTCTCTTGCGTTCTGCTGTTAGCGATTCGATCATTAGTTCCACTACATCCACCTTCAAGAGATGATATTTCTATTGATATCCATTTCTAATTGCATTTCGTACTTTTTTCACGGTGTGGAATTGTTCCGTATATAAATACTCGGATTGAACACAAATACGATACTGTTCAAGCAAAATGGTATTTCAATGGTTTCTAATTTTCTCGCTGATAGAACATGCTTATGCTAAACCAACTGCCGCAAATGTCCCGTTATTCGAAACGAAAAATACTCATGACGATGTGTACGAGAACGTTTACTTTAGTGTTTCGATGAAGAAACCTGCTGAATGGTACACAATGACTTTGAAAGAACTTCATCTTTTTATTCCAAACGGTACTGCTGCGTTTAAATCTCATCGTATTGTTCCGTTATTTGGCTTTTCGGCATATCGGATGGGTTCAAGACCTGATCGTATCAATGCGAATATCATTGGATTCGTTGAACGCATAGCAAAAAGGACGAAATTTCACGATGATTGCGATTTCTTCAAAGACAATGAAAATGCCTTTCCGAAGATGTTCACTTTGGAGAATATGTCTGAATGTTATCCTTATGAGATTAATGGAGTGAAATATGCCCGGAAGGATCTTAAAGTGAAATTTCTCGACGTATCTATTCTTGAACAAATTCGATTCTTTCGAAGTACTAAAAGTGGTTATTTATTTGCCTTCACGCTGACATTCGGTGAATCCGATGATATAAATCAACTCATGCATGCCATGTATACGATTCAATTTTCAAATAAATCGTACATTTTGTGAAAATAAACTTGTCCTTGTATCCACTCAGAAAGCAATAGCCCGAGAGAATTTTATTCGAACATACTGAATATGGTTATATATTTGCATTCATAATAACCTATATAATAATCATATACGTAATAATAGCAGTTCATCATTAGAGATTTTTTTGCGCAGATAGTATTTAATCAAATGAAAGCCTTCTGCTTATATAACTCGAAACATTTCAGACACGTGGATTAATCGATTTGATTCCATCATCTTCAACATCGAATTGCCATTCTTTTTCATGGTGGTCGACTAAACCGTCGTACGGCCATTTGATTTCCAATGTTTTCCCATCCGCAGTTTCGACTTCGATTTTGTAAATATGCCGATCGATGATCATATGCGCGTCAGCATAGGAACGCGTTTCAGCAAAATAATGTCCGCCATGGCCTTCCAATTGGTTTAGACGTATCATTTCATGTTCGTGATGTTGATTCTCGCCACAGTAGTAAATTTTTAAGTCGATTGCTTGCGCCGTTCGATTGTAAATATGAGCAGAATGGACGTAATATTTCTGTTTCAACGGCATCGTTGATGCTTCTCTTGTAAAAGAAATAAAAAGAAAATGTTTGTTTTTTTTTGCGTTCTATGTGATACCGTGCATCTTGTATGTATCGTCGAGAAATGTATTTAGGTTCGGTTGATACCAGGAAAGGAAAAAGAAAGATATTCTTATCTGCAATAAGCGTATGTTGTGACAGATGAAGAAAGAGAACACGATTAGTATAAGTTAAGGCTATATTTAGGTTGTTTCCGTCGAAAGAGTATATTAACCGAAAGAAATTTCAAGGAATGTGATGATTTTATCTTTGTTTATATCGTCATATCCACTCCAGGTGCATAAAAGAGATGGAATGCATAAGATCAGAACTTATTTTCTTCGACTCCTGATAAATTTTCGAACGTTTGATTTGTTTTTTTTTTAAACAAACAGTACTCCGGTGTTGAACAAATATAAAATAGAAAATTCTATCGAGAAAACTCCTTCGTGCATTGTTATGTGCATAACGATGTTGCAGTCTGGTCCGCTAACTTTGCACTTTTTCTATCGTGAAGCCGTAGTTGAAAGTTGACATGTACCTGTTTTTGCCGTGTCGTACACATCTATTGTAATAAATCTCATTCAAACTTCAAGCACTTGACACTCTTTGGCAATTCCTTTATCAATTCATTTCATTCAATGTCTGGTCTCCTGCTTTTTATACTAATGCATGTAGTAACATCATTACAAGTTGCCATTCTGGATAATCGAATGTATGCGACGAGCAATTATTCCTTGATACTATTTAATCAGACTCGTCTTCAATGTATATGCAGCGCTTTCGCTGACAACTCATCGTCCATTGTGTTGTTGAACTTCTATGCGAATGCTAGTCGATGTGAACTCTTTGATCATTATCCGACGGTAGCATCGATGCTGGTAGCTATGAATAACTCGACTATCATCATGCGCCCATATAATGCATCATCACAGACAGGTGCGACACATGAACTGACTAGAAGAGCAAGGATAATATGTGAATCGCTCGCTCGTGTTTCAAGAGAGTTCACCATAAACGCTATTGAGATTGATAATTGTTTTCATTTTCTTCTAGGCAATACTACAATCTGGTTCAATAATAATACAAGTGAGTAGAACGGACGTGTCTATGAAGCCATTGTACTTAATGAATATAGGCATTTACTTTTTACCTCTAAAATGTGAATACTGAGTTTGCCTTTCCTTGCATCTACAATTTAAAGGTGCTGTTTTAAATGTTAAAAATGTAAGATCTATTTTCTTTTCAGCAACTAGCGGAATCAATCACACAGTCAGTAAGTAATAATTGATCTCTAATTACACTTTGTGGTATTTTTACTATTTGAATGTGTTTGACTGTTTTAGCTAGTACAACATCCACCACTTCAAGTAAGATCTGTTTTTTTCCTGCTAAGTTTGTTATCAATCCTACACACTCTGTTGCTTTAGTGACAAGCAGTACCACCAGTAAGTAAACCTATTCTTGTATCACATCATTGAATTTACTGATTATCATGTCGTATGTCATGATTTAGCTAGCACAACATCAAGTAAAATTTGTTTTGTTCACAAAGGTAGCTAATTAAATTGCATATATTGATATTCTAGCGACCAGCACGACTAGTCGTACTACCAGTGAGTGTTAATAATTTTTTCGTGACTCTCTATGATAAATTCGTCACTGAAATTGTTATCAACACTTATTTTAGCAACTTCCTCAACAGCGACGACGACAAGTAAGTCATTTATGCTGCAGTAAGAGCTGCGCTTGTGTTTTTCTTTTACATTCTCATCCTCACTGTCGACACTGTTCTCAATTCAGGTCAAACACCTACTCAACTGTGGAACGTATCAAATGACCATGGTCTCGTCGGTGCATACCAAAATTATTATTTTTCATGGACAGCATTAACTACAAGAAATGCCACTATAGCCTTTCAAATGCGAAACGCAGCAAGCAGTTGGTGTTTAGATGATGTGTCTGTTACTTCAGGTGGTGTTGAAAAGCTTATAAACAGAGGATTTGAGACGGGCACTCTGTCGCCATGGGTTCGAACAACACCCAACGGAAATTGTAATGGCACAGCAGCCAGTACTTCGAATACAAATAGTATTCTTGTGGGATGCATACCAAGAACAGGCTCATATTATGTAGTTGATGGAAGCTCGAGTTGCGCCGATCAATTGCAACAATCTTTTGGCGTCACGATCGGTACTGTTTATAACATATCGTTCTGGATTAAAGCAGTGTTCAGTTTCAGTAGTGGACAACAGTATGTCAGTGTCTCTGTTATCTGAATTCAACTCTGCGCGCGTCTACACACTTTGTATGTGTGAAAGAGTCTAGAATTATGGCACTATATGTTTCACTAAGTTCATTATGTTGCTTACTGTTTTCGTGTGCATCATCTTTTCTTATCGACTTTGCATGGAACTTCGGAATGTAGATTTACTCTTATCGATCAAATAAATTTCTGATTCTGTAACATATGTTCAGGAATCTTTTTAGTTTGCATTGCATTCTGTCCTAGAGAGTATAAACATAATTACACATAGTATTGTGATATCGAAGTCCATCGATATCCATCTGCTTAGCTGAATGACACAGCGAACGATAAATCAATTCCATTAGATCGCACCAAATGCTAAGCAGAATGGTAACCGCTTCATATTTCGTTTGTTAGTACGTTGCTTACAGCAAGAAGCTATGCTTAGATGGCAATACTGGTGTTTACTTGTCTTTCTCGATGGAATCATGCGCATAACAACTACTTTGAACAATTTTGTTATGATATTCTCGATATAAGCTTGCAAATATCGTTTCTTCCTCATAGTTTGTTGAGATTGGCCTACTTAAACATACTGATAAGACTCTAAGAATGGAATTTAGGTGTGTCGATTAAAAATATCACACATAAGTAACAAAAATGTTATTTTTCGTGCGCTGGCATTGTATCAAGAAAATCCGATTGAAAAACGAAAATATTCGAAAACGTGTAGTGTCTTTTTTCGATTGTTGATCTGGAATAGTCAACTAATTAATTGTGTATTTGATCCGAAGGAACGTCTCGCACTTTCGTTATCACATCTGTCGATATTTGTGCAACTGCGCGATAGTTACCTTTTCTTATCATTCGTTTAGAAGCCAAACAAGGTGTGCATTTATATTAGTGAAAAGAAACACTATCGACCATCATAATGATCTTGTTTTTCTTTTTCACTGTTCTACTACCAACTATTTTTGCTAATGAACCTGTCGTAGTTCATACTCAGTATGGTGACATATTAGGATATCAGACGAATCTATCTCGAGTATTCTATGGAATTCCCTTTGCTCAACCACCTGTAGGCCCATTGAGGTAACGAACTGCACGAATGTTCTTGTTCATTTGTGTTTATTTGTGAATAGGTGGGAAGCACCTGTGCCGGTGGTCAGATGGGCTCCGAAAATGGTCAATGCTACACAACCACCATCTGCTTGTCCACAACCTCCTGTGCCACAATCAAAACGATTAGTAAGATATGCCAATCCACAAATTGTAAGTCGATGATCTGAAAAGAAAGCAGAGTTCTCATGTCATATACACTCTCATTTAGATGTCTGAAGACTGTCTTTATTTGAATATTTTTACACCATTATCGAGTAACTTGTTATCGACGAATCCTCTTCCTGTGATGATTTTTATTCCTGGTGGTGATTTCCAATTTAATTCTGCTTCGGCCTCAGCCTATGAATCTGAGCACTTAGTCAATAACACAAATATTATTATTGCCCTAATCCAGCATCGATTAGGTCAGTTTGGTGCATTTCCGCACTGTTCATTTGAAGGGTTAATCTCATTTCAGGTGTTCTTGGGTTCTTGGCAACCGGTAACGGTCCTAATGATATCAAGGGCAACTATGGAATACTCGATCAACGTCTGGCGATCGCTTGGGTGAAACAGAATATTGATGCATTTGGAGGTGACCCTAATCAGATAACGCTATTCGGACAAAGTTCTGGTGCGCAGTCAACTGCTCTTCATTATGTGACAAAAGAGATGCAATCATATTTTCAACGTGCAATCATTCAAAGTGCTCCGATGAATTTTCCATTCAAGTACTGTATAACGACATGAGTATAATGAAAATAATGATTTATCTTTACTTGTCTGTAGAACATACTTGGAGAATGTACCCACCGTTGTCCTTCTCGCTGAGCAATTACATTGTTCTCCAAATGATTTCGCATGTTTTCGAGCTCGCTCAGCTGATGAAATTATCACTGCTCAGAATCAAGTAAACCAAAAACTAACTTCATTGGATCTTCTACTTCTTCTCGAACCATGGCTACCAGTTATTGATAATGATATTGTTCATGGAACGCTTATTTCTACAATAAGGAATGTATCATTTCCACTCAAACCATTGATAATTGGTTCGTTAACTGACGAATGCTATTATATGATCTATGGTGCATTAAAAAAGAATGTAACAGTGATTGAATATATGGCTATGGGCGTTGGTCTTTTTGGTGAAAAGGCCTTGAAAATTCTTGAACATTATCCACCTTTGCCTTCAGGTGATCAACGACCGAATATCGCCAAGATAGCGACAGAATGGATCTTCACTTGTTCAACTCGTGTTTTCGCTCGAAAAGCGGCCACATATTCCTATGTTTTCGGTTATCCTGATAATACACTCAATTCACTCAACTGCAAAGATCACGCTTGCCATGCAGATGAACTACCCTATATCTTTCAATCGTTTTGGGACCGGTTCACTGACGTTGGTCGATACATATCTCATGGAATGGCTACTTATTGGACAAACTATGCCAAGAGTGAAAATCCGAATGAACCTTCGAGTGTGCCTGTATCGTGGCCAAAGTACACAAGTGGAAACGAAACGTACATGTACATTCAAAATCCTTTTCAAGTGGGACAAAGCTATGTGAAAAGTGATTGTGATTTATGGGATGAAATCGGTTACAAATAAGACTGCATTTATATTTCACTGTAAACACCTTATTTCTAAATAAAGAAGACAATCGTTTTTCAGTACACATTCGTATTTCGTATCAAAAGACTATCTGCTTTCCCTCAACCCATGTGCGTATATCTGAGCGACTGCGCGATAGTTACCTTTTCTTATCATTCGTTTAGAAGCCAAGCAAGGTGTGCATTTATATTAGTGAAAAGAAACGCTATCGACCATCATAATGATCTTGTTTTTCTTTCTCACTGTTCTACTACCAACTATTTTTGCTAATGAACCTGTCGTTGTTCATACTCAGTATGGTGACATATTAGGATATCAGACGAATCTATCTCGAGTATTCTATGGAATTCCCTTTGCTCAACCACCTGTAGGCCCATTGAGGTAACGAACTGTACGAATATTCTTGTTCATTTGTGTTTATTTGTGAATAGGTGGGAAGCACCTGTGCCAGTGGTCAGATGGGCTCCGAAAATGGTCAATGCTACACAACCACCATCTGCCTGTCCACGACCAAAGCGCACAACGCGTTCTACCACTCGCACTCCATTTGGGGTGAGTCTTTGATACGAAAACCGATGAACAAATCTCTTATTGTAAATTATAGATGTCAGAAGATTGTCTTTATTTGAATATTTTCACGCCGTTATCAGGTGACGTACCGTCGACAGATCTTCTTCCCGTGATGCTTTTTATTCACGGTGGTGATTTCCAATTTGGCGCTGCAACAGAGTCAATGTATAAATCTGAACTCTTAGTAAATAACACAAATATTATTATTGCCTTAATTCAATATCGTCTAGGTAAAATTCATTCTTTTCATCGGTAACTGACGCTTTATGTGATATGTTTGTAGGTGTTCTGGGATTCTTGGCAACCGGCAATAATCCGAATGACATCAAGGGCAACTATGGAATACTCGATCAACGTTTGGCGATCGCCTGGGTGAAAAACAACATCAACGCATTCGGCGGGGATCCCAATCAGATCACACTATTCGGTCAAAGTGCTGGCGCACAATCAACTGCTCTTCATTATGTAACTAAAGATATGCAACCATATTTTCAACGTGCAATCATTCAAAGTTCTCCACTGACTATACCATTCAGGTACAAGAAGAAAAGTTGAAATGATATATATACTTGATTGGTATTTAGAACATATTTGGAAAATATTACGCCAACTGTTCTTCTCGCTGAACAGTTACTCTGCTCTCCGAATAACCTATCGTGTTTTCGAACTCGTTCAACTGATGAAATTACTGCTGCTCAAGCTATAGTGAATAAAAAAATTACTTCATTGAACGCACTGTTCTTTTTCGAACCATGGCTACCAGTTATTGATAATGAGATTGTTCATGGCTCATTAATGAGCATGATTCAGAATGCATCATTCTCACTTAAACCATTGGTGATTGGTACAGTGACTGAAGAATGTTATGATTTCGTTTATACTACATGGCACAAAAATGTGACAATCAGTGAATATATAGCCTTTGCGGTTGGCCTTTTCGGTGAAAAATCGTTGAAAGTTCTCGAGCATTATCCACCAACTGCTTCAGTTGATCAACGGCCGACTCTCGTTCGTATGGCAACACATTGGGTCTTTTCTTGTTCAACTCGTGTTCTTGCTCGAAAAGCAGCCACATATTCCTATGTTTTTGGTTATCCTTATAATACACTCAATTCACTCAACTGCAAAGATCACGCTTGCCATGCAGATGAACTACCCTATATCTTTCAATCGTTTTGGGACCGGTTCACTGACGTTGGTCGATACATATCTCATGGAATGGCTACTTATTGGACAAACTATGCCAAGAGTGAAAATCCGAATGAACCTTCGAGTGTGCCTGTATCGTGGCCAAAGTACACAAGTGGGAACGAAACGTACGTGTATATTCAAAATCCTTTTCAAGTGGAAGAAAATTACTTGAAAGATGATTGTGATTTATGGGATCAAATCGGTTATAAAGCAAGCGTGATTTGAATGAAACAACAACTTATTGCCGTATTTTTCCTTCTGCAGAGTATTATTTTTAAGAGCCGATTGAAGTAAAAGAAAGCATAAGTTGGTGTTACCGCCTAGATGCACCGTCTTCCTCGTTTTTTTGCGCAGCGAGAATCAACAAAAATTGACGAGAAAAAAAGAGAATGGTTTATTTTGTATTCTGATACTTTTTTTCAACGAGAACATCTGCATCAATGCAATCTCTCTACAGCTAAAAGAATGGTTACTTCTGCTGATCAAGAAGGATTATCGCGGAATATGGCTGTATCGATGCTTATCACAATTCACTCTCAATTACACCGAGTAGAAAGTCTTGATGAAGCTGTTCAGGAAGCCAGAAGTCATTACAAAAAGAGATCCGGGGTAGGTGAGGTAGATGACGATGTGACCAAACAGTACCAAAAAAGAACACCGTTTGTTGGTGGCAGTTCACTTCTTGTACGATCCAGATTTCAGCAACACGAGCTTTTCTTCGCGACAAGAAAAAGGCCACGATCTTTATGAATGAATGTCTTACGAGTAGAAATGTCGTTGAATATTCACATATGCCTAAAGACGACGAACTTATTCGCTTATACCTCGGATCAAACTAGAAGTGGTAGATAATGTTTTCTCTCATTTCGATGAGAATTGTGCATTTCAACATCTCAATTATCTTCATAGTTAGGAGCTAAATATTTGAAAGAATGTTAATTATAAACTCAGATCAAAAACCACTTGTTGCAACTATCGAAAAGAATTCTAACATTTAAACTGTCCCTATTGCTTCAGAGCAATTTCTTGAAAAAAAACCATTATAAGGAAGGTCAACGAGTCACAGGTTCGAATCGTTCGCATTGCGATGTCGAGAACTTCTGCAAAACCGCTAGCATTTCTTCGAATACTCGAGTGGACTCTTATGCGTGTTCAAAAATATTTTGAATCATACAGCAGGGTGAAGCTGAACATGCTTTCTTTGTTGTTCTCCTCAAACTGCTAAAAAAATTTTGAAAGCGAATCAATGTTTGCCTTCATTTGGATGATCGCAAGAAATGAATGTGCAACAAACTTTCGCTTTTGCTCACATGCACATTTGCTTCCCTAGATAAACACACAAGTCATTGTGCGTCAAGTCGCTTTGTCGTTCTCGAAATAGTTTTAAGTGTGAGAGAAAAGACATACGTGATTTTTCTTTTGCAAAAACAAACCAAATGGAATAAAACCAAGTGAGCCAAAACATTTAAAAGCTTTGCGTTTCTTTTCTTGATCATTTTTCTCGGGAAAGTGAAAATATGACACAACGAATTGTCTACGATGACGTTGCGAATGAATATCTCCAAGTCGAAAATGGTGTTGACGGCTTTCTGAATTCACCTCTGGTGTCTTTCGACGACGCAATCCTTCCTATGGTGAAACATATTGAAAACCTTGACATCGCCGTCCACCGAGCGAAGCAGAACTGGAATAAAACATCGTCTCGTCTGAATGCTGACGAATGTCAAGCTATTTATTTGTATACAATAGAAATGCAGACCGATAGTGTCTACACTATTATTAATCGATATCTCCGCGCTAATGATACATTTCCAGCCCGACCTTGGTTTCCATATATGAAATTGTTATACACCGCTTTAGAAAAGCTCCCATCACACGTTGGCTCAGTTTGGCGAGGAGTCAATCGGGACATAAGAGTAAACTATAAGAGAGGAGCAATCATTTCCTGGTGGGCGTTCACTTCCTGCACAGCCAAACTTGCTGTCATTAAAGATTTCCTCGCTGACAAAGGAAAAAGCACAATTTTTATGATCGAATGTCTTAATGGGAAAAACATTTCGAAATATTCAAGTATTTCGAGAGAAGATGAAATTCTGTTGCAACCTGGAATCAAGTTGGAGGTTGTCGATAATGCACTGGATTTGAGTGGACTACGTATCGTACACTTGAGGGAAATCGCTACGAAGTCTCGGGCTATGACAGCTCACAAGCAGACTTCATCTAAAACAGCAGCAGTGTCAACGGATAAACATAAAATACAAAAGGAGATAGCGAATCAGTGCTCGAGCAACAAAGCAGCTGTACCGAAGGCAATACGTACGTTTTCACAAGCGAATGAGAATGATTATAACCGACTGAAATCGCTTCTTTTTTATGGTTTAGATACAGAGAGAACGAAGACATCTTGTCCACATTGTTCAACAAAGATAGATTTATCACCGGAGTACAAAGAAGGTACCCAACTCGTTTGTCATTCATGCAAGAAGACATTCATCGAATTAACCTGTGTTCATTGCAATGAGCTTAACTCATGGAAACATCCGCATCGAAGGGAAGGTGAAGTACGCACTTGTTGGAATTGTAAAAAACAGTTTCAATATCTCAACTGTCCACATTGTACAGCCCCGTACATCTGGAAACGTGCCAATTATGTACAGGGTCAGAAGGTATCATGCTGGAATTGCAGAAAGCAATATCAGCATCTCAACTGTCCTAATTGTTCGCATGCGAATTTCTCTACTGCAGCAGATTATACAGAAGGACAAAAAATCGGATGTGCCGCTTGTAAGAAACCATTTCAACACATTAACTGCCCGCATTGTACGAAAGAAAACTTCTGGAAGAACGCAGACCGTGTGGTGGGTGTCAAAACGCCCTGTTTTCATTGTGGAAAATCTTTTCAGGTTGTCAACTGCCCTCATTGTCAAAAGCCAAATCATTGGCGACAACTCGATTATAAGCAAGGATTGACGGTGACATGTTGTAATTGTCGAAAAAAATTTCAGCATATCAATTGTCCACACTGCTTAACTGCGGCTTATTTTTCGAATACTGACAATGAACAGAGCCGTCTGTTTGCGTGTCGATCGTGTCAGCATCGTCTTCATCATGTCATTTGTCCGGATTGCAACTCGCAAAACTTTCTCCAATCAACAAGTCTCTTAGGATTGGCTTTTGTAACATGCGCTCATTGTTCATCCTCGTTTTTGAATACTTTTTAAAATTAGAACTAAATATCCTCGAGAAAATTTATTCATTAGTATCTCGCTTCGCCCACTTTTTCATTTTATCCTCAAAAATAGATCAAAGTAAACACAGCATGTCATTTACACACGTATGACCATAAAAATAAAGGATCTTTTAGCCATGAAATCCTAGCATGCGTTGCAATTAGTTCTTCCGGGTGAAATCGAATAAAGACGGCTGCCTTCATTCCATCATTTTCATTTGTATCAATTAGAAGAAAACTTCTCGCTATGTCCTTATCATACATTGGCCAACAATGTATAATCTATGGCGGATCAGTTTTCCTCATCGGCGGATTAATTGGTAATACAATTAATATACTCATATTTTCAAAAGTTCGCAAATATCGTCAAACACCATGCACCTTTTATTTTCTCGTTGCTTCTATTGCCAATCTGATTTACATCTCATTTAACTTTACCACTCGTATCTACAGCAACATTATCGGATACGATTTATCCAATCTATCGATAGCTTGGTGTAAAACTCGACAATTCCTCATCGTTGCATTCAGCATGATCACACTAACCAATTCTTGTTTAGCAACCATCGATCAATTTTTAGCCACATCAAAACATGTCCATTTTCGAAGGCTCAGTAATATGAAATGGACATATCGGCTTATTACTTTTGTCATTCTTCTTTGGTTTCTTCATGCCATTCCATGCCTGATCTTCTACAATGTTCCATCCAGTACAAAAAAATGTGCGATCACTCATCCGATTTATGCAGTTTACAATCGCATCTATCTTCTCGGTTTACTTTGCCTAATGCCAATAATGGTCACAACAATATTTGGATGTTTGACTTACTATAACATTCGTACAACACGCGGTCTTGCCGGACAAAATGTGGATCGTCAATTGGTAAAAATGACTTTACTTCAAGTGTTTCTGATCGTTCTCAGTCTGGCACCGTATGGTTTGCTGAGTATTTATAGTTTAATAACCGAAAATTTCGTTAAAGACTCCAATCGATTAGCACAAGAAAATTTTGTGCTGACAATTTTTACTTTAATGACCTATTCGTATTATTCGGTAAGTTCTTTCTTATTTGACACGATTTTCTGAGCCAGTATGCATTCTAGGGTAATTGTTATATGTTCTGGTTTTCTTCAAGTCAATTTCGACGACGAGTTAAACGTGTAATTTTACTTTGGCGAACAAATCATCAAATAGTTCCATCGGATGTTCGCGGATCAAAGATAGTTACACGGTGAAACAATTTTTCCATCGTAATAAACGGTTTTATATTCGCTTGTAGTTCTTCTAAACGTAACGTTTTTCTACTTTATTAAAATGCACCTAAATGACAAAAATATTAGTTTGAATGCTCATAAGCATCTGTAAATAATGTAGTTCCGTTTTTAAGCAGTGACAATGTCACTGCTGTAAATCGTTTATAGAATGCCGCACAATTAATAGATTGTGTAGTTCTCACATCGATGCATCATATCTGCAAATGAAATTACTTCGTAACTGTGTAAAAAGCAACGTTTGTTTATCGCATACATTAAAACGCCCATTTTAATTTTCATGAAAGTGCACATTCAACCAGTTCGTGGAGATTCAGAATGTTTGCTTACATTTTTGTTCTGTTCGAAAAGTAGATAATGCCTATGCAATTTGTAATCATAACAAAAAATAAAGAAAAGAAATATTCAACTATTTCTACAGCGGAAGGTTTACTCGACGTTGCGCGCAGTTTGAATGGCTAAGTCGAAATCAAAACCCAATGAAATAATCAATTCCAAGTTCAGTACAAAGTCAACTAGGATCAGCACGATAGATCCTGCTGAACAATCCAATGTTGTTTATCGAAATGATCCGAACTATTTTCATTCCCTCCCGTCACGTGCAAAACCGAAGTATGACAATTCTTAAAACACGTTCTCAGCTGTATTCTTTATTATTTATAACTAGGTGGTCCGTGTCACGATGTCTTTGCATACAATTGTTGGTGTTGTTAGGTCTTGCGACGCTGGCAGCGATTACCATACCAATGGTTGTGATCGTATTAGGTAAGTGTACTCATTCTGATCAGAAAAACTTGACCAATTGAGAAAATATTTTCTCTCCTTTATAATTTAGATTCGATATCGTCATCACCGCGTAAGTCTACTGATTCATAATTATGTCCTTCATTATTTTTCATATAGCATGTGCTTCCACCTATTCTGACGTATTTACAAATGGAATTACTCCAACGACAGCTCAATGTACAGCATGGAGAGAATTTAAAAACAACTTGATATGTGCTTCATACTCAAAAGTGAGAATGTACGGGTCAAATGATCCAATAGGCATAACGTCGACTGATTCATCTGTAGCCACTGCTCTTGCAATAGCATTACGATACAATACAACGATTACTACTGTTTCGAACGGAGTAACATGGCGAGTCGGTGCTTGCGGTAGTGGTTACGAAATTAGTGCAACTGGAACAATATGTTCCTGTCCGACTGGTTACACAATTCGACCATGCATCGGTAGTTCTAATTGGGGAGGAATTAATAGCGCAACATGTGGCGCCGCGACACAAACAATGTCTCTTTATTTCGAATGAAGGAATTTGAATGAAAGCGAATTGTAAAAATAGGGGTTTTGGTGACTAGGCAAAAGTAAATATCGTGTGTCACTTTGCATAATACTAGTTCGCATCTGATACCATTCTCGCACTGCATATAGCGCTGATCTGTCTATATCAGGGATGGGGAACGCTGCACGTTTTAAATTACATTTTCTAGCAGTTTCCCTGCATAGATCAATCACATTTATATGTTACGTTACAATTTTAAGCCAAAGTATTATGCGTTCCTCGTTCATGGAACGGGGGAATGGACAACTGTGCGTGAACAGTTTGATTATACTTGAAAAAACTCTATAAAATATACCTGGAAATATATTCCGTCCCTGAAAATGGAGCGGGGGGTACTCATACCCTCAAGATGAAATTCCCTATTTCTATTATTCTGCTAGTGACAATTTTTTGACGATAATTATTTACCGTAATCGACTTGAGACCATCAAGATGCTTTACGTGGAAAATCTGCTTTTGATCTTTCGTTTCTGTACTTGATTGAACTACCTTCAAAATTGATACGTATTTCTTTGCCAGAAAGAGATTTCTCTATATAAATATACAAAGGGGCATTCTTATGAGCATTCGAATATTATTTACAATAGTTCATCGACCATGTCCTTGCTATACATCAGTCAACAAACGACTATCTATGCTGGTTGCTCTCTCGCTTTCATTGGTATCCTTGGCAACTCAATGAATATTCTCGTCTTTTCAACTGTTCCATCCTATCGAACAACATCTTGTACGTTCTATTTTCTCATCAGTTCCATCTTCAACATTGCATATATCGTCATCAATCTTATTTCACGCATCGTTAGTGCCGGATTCGGTATTGATCCTACACGAACATCTCTCGCATGGTGTAAAACAAGACAGTTCTGTCTATTCACACTCAGTTTGGTCACAATCACATGTTCATGTTTGGCAACCATCGATCAATACTTCGCATCATCACAGAATGTTCGAATTCGTCGTTGGAGTAACATTCGATGGGCTCGTCGAATCGTCGTCATTATCATTATTATCTGGTGTATTCATGGCATCCCACCTATCTTGTATTCCGATATCTCGCCTATAACAAAAGCCTGTGGAAATATGAATGCGAGATATGCTGACTACATTCCTTTCTATCTGTTGGGATTGATTTGTGCCATTCCCATCGTTGTAATGGTGACATTCGGATACCTCACTTATCGCAACATTCATCTCACTCGTGCTCTTGCAAGACAATACGCTGATCGACAACTGGTTCGAATGGTTCTCTTTCAGATCATTCTTGTCATCATTAGCTTCGTTCCATATGGAACATACAGTGTGTATAGTTTGGTGACGACCGGAATGCCAAAAGATATTTATCGATTGTTGCAAGAAGCATTTGCGATAACAGTGCTTAGTCTTGTGCCTTATTTCTACTATTGTGTAAGTGAAAGCGTAAAGGAAGGAGAGAGTGATGAAGGATGTTTATTTGTTTAGGGAAGTTGTTATGCGTTTCTGATGTCGTCAAGTCGATTTCGTCGATCTGTTCGAAATCAAGTGTTATTCTGGCGAAGACCAACTCAAATCGACAAAACGATACGACTAACAGCTACCGTTCACAGTTTAAGAAAAGTCGGTGTAGCTGCTCCAACTCATAATCAATAGAAGTTCTAAAATAAACGAGCATTAAGTAAATTGGTGTAGTGTCTCACAGAAAAGAGTAAAAATTTTTTACGTAATTGATTGAAAACATATGGCATAATAAGGACAATTATCTCTTCTCAATATCTGATACCGATTCTTTGCGCCAAGTAAAAACGATGAAAATATAGAATGTGCAATAGCATACGAGGTAATATTTGTAGATGCTGGCAAGATTAATTCATTATTGAATGCGAAATATACCCCCAACATGAGGTAAATCTTATGTTTTCACCTGCTCATTATGTCAAATCGATATGATCGTATTTCGCCTTATGAAAATAAATAAGTATAATTTTTATAGTTGTTTTAATTTCACTGTTAAAGCAAATAACCACAGTTATTAACTAATTTAGTCTTTCTTGCGTATATCAAACTCAGACGTCACCATTGCGTCTGTCATTGTTTTTAACCAACAGAAGTTTCACGCAACACACATCATCATTAAAAACTCTTAAATTAAAAGTCTGATGATGACAAATGTACTGCCATATTTAATGAGTTTGATACTAAACGTGCAGTACGTTTATCGTTCCTGTGCAAAGTTGATTATATAATTACACGACATATGTACTGATATATAAACCCCTATACATCATTTGCGGCAACTCATCTACTATGTCTCTATCATACATCAGTCAACAAACAACTATCTATGCTTGTTTCTTTCTCGTCTTCTCAACTACTAGATTGTATCGAAAACCATGGTGCACTTTCTATTTCCTCATCAGCTCCATTTTCAACATCGTTTACATTGCTATCAATCTGATTTGGCGCCTCGCTAGTGTTGGATGTGGTACGGATTTTACAGGGACTTCCGTTTTACTGTATAAAATGAGATCCTTTTTCTTATGGTGCCTCTTTTAATTACAATCACTTGCTCATGCTTAGTTACCATCGACCAATACTTCGCATCATCGCAAACTGTTCGGATTCGTCGAATCGTCATTATTATCTTGTGTATTCAGATATCTTGCCTGCAACAAAAGTTTGTGGAAATATGAATGCAAAATATGCTGACTACATTCCCTTCTATCTGGATTTTGATTTGTGTCATGACCATCGTTGTAATGGTGACGTTCGGATATCTCACTCGTACTCTTGCAAAACAATGTGTGGATCTACGGCTGGTTCGAATGGTCTCTTTCAGATCATTAGGTTCGTTCCATATGGAACACACAGCATGTATAATTTGGTCACCGCCAAACTAACAGAATACATTTTAGTTACCGACTACCACACGAAGCAATGGCAACAATAGTGATGAAGGTTATTATGCATTTGTGCTGTCATTCAGTCGCTTCCGGCAATCTGCTCGATGCCATATCATAATATATATTTGAATATCTCGATGACATTCATCTATTCCATAGGTTTTATGCTCAGAATTATCGTTTTAACGGATTACTTCTATGGCGCATAGTCGACAGTGTCGATTGAATTTTCAGTCTATATCTAAATCTGCTTTGCATCAAGTACTTCGCCAGTATTTACCATTAATTATCGATCGAGTGATTTCGTTGGTCATTTCCGCTGACGACGAAACTGCAAATCTTATTGATGATTTTTGCTCGTTGGGCCGATTTCCTAATTTACAATGTTTATCAATGACTCAAGTAAACTCCATCGAAAAACTCAATCAAGCGTCATATTCACATTAACTGACACGTTTAACCTTCATTGATTGCTACTCAATGCAGCAAAATGGTCTAATTAATTTCATTAATGATGTTTGATATTTGCTTCAACTTAAATACTTTTTCCTTTCAATGTGATATCATCTATAATTCGTTCTTTTCAAAATTAACAACACTCCCAATCAATTCAATTCATTGTCGTGAGATTTTGTCGATTTAATTTTAAAGACTTGATTAATCTATTCAGCTTAACACCTCGACTTCGTCACCTTCGAGCAACATGTTTTGCTGACATTGATGTTGATTCACCAGCGGTACAGAAAAGCTTCATTTTTAACAAATTTAAACATCAACATGTTTAAGTCATTGTTCGCGGTTTGACTACTCTTTTACAAAACATACCGAATTTGCGCCATCTGACCGTTATAATACGTCGACTGTTTTTTTAAATGGTCATGAATGGCAGCGAATCACATAAAAACATTTCGATTATGTATATGGAATTCAAATATAATCAAGAAATGAAAAGGAAAAACAAATTGATGATTTATTGGATACACTTCGAACCGATTTTTGGCTCGCTGAACATCAATGGTTCGTTCGATGTGAATGGAGTTCGACTGACAATGATTCAATATACTCTATACCTTACTTTATCATTTAGATCGATACTCCATTCAAAACTCAAATCGACAACTTCAAACGATGAAATCTGTTGGTCATATGAATTAGTGCGCAACTTAACTTCGAAAAATACTAAGATTGATAATTGACGTGTATATCCGATATTCGTTTTACAAATCTTTCGTCTCTACATATTGAACTCCAGCACACAGCAACCTTTACTCAGTCATTCTGACGCTCAGTAGTCTGACATGGTTAACAGTAAGCATCTATGACAGCACTGTTGAATCGGAGTTGCAAACCTCGATCAATCGAATACCGAATCTTTATCGATTAACATCTGATTTATCATTGCCGGATTTATTACTGATAGTATGGAGGATCAGTAACCCATCAGTTCGTCGGCTCGATCTATTTCGGGAAGCATTATCAAATAGCTGCTCTCTTGATGCTTCTTAATGTTTAGATTTGATCAATTCGCCACTAGGACGTCAATGTGAACTGCTTTCAATTAGTGTGGTAGATCAATCCACGATTCTTGATTTTATCAATAAAAAAAATCGAATATTCGTTCGTTGATATATCTATGGGAAGAAGAGAACATCAATCGTAGTGTCAACAAACAAGAACTTGTTGAATGGTTACAAAATCATTCGTCGTCGAACAGCAATGTTCGTCATGTAGGTTTTTTAACTCATAGAATCCAAATTTGGATTAATCAATATGCTGAATAAAAAAAGATGTTCAAGTGTTGTTTTTAGATATGCACCGATCAGATTGAGCGATCTAGGCAGAAAACATACGTCTTCGAACATATAGAAACTGAACATTGAATTGATCTGAATTGAATGATTATCAGTACAATCGTCGTGATCAAGATGTTGTTTTCAAATCTTGAACAACTACAAAGTTCACTAGATGATATCAGACTTGTAAATTATTGACACAGAAAACTCAAATACGAACTGCTTGATTTAATTTAGACAGAATAAATTCGTTTACTCCAAATAGTCATTTACTACACACATTTTTCTATCAAATCTCTTCGACAGCAATAACGATTCTACTAAGAAAGCGAAACTTAATATCAAGTGAAAAATCAATCAGAGAAATGATCTGACAATTTATGACAAAAGCTGATACTATATGTTTCAAAGCGCTCTGGTCGGAAACTAGTTCGGCTAATTGGATCTGATGTGAATATTTTTGGCTAGTATTTATTTGAGCAATAAAAATACTTAAATGAGCATGAATAAAAACTACAAATGAGCAATAATCTTCGAACAATAATAAATTCTTTTTTGAGCTATTTAGTACTACGGAATGAGTAATAATTAATTCATTAAATACCAGTATTAAATTAATTTTTTAGTAATAAGAGAAAAAAAACGTCAGTTTTTATTTGGGCATTTAACAATAATAAAGAGAAAATTCAGTCTAATTGATCGTAGTTCAGTGTATTATACTTTTTTCTAAACGGACGCAATATATATACGTATCCGTTCAAAGGATGGGAAAATTCAAAGATAATAAGGAATAAAACAATCAGAAAGATAAGTACTTGAAGGTGACGACATTTGGAAAATACCTGGCATGAGAAGNCGTTGTTCACACTCAGTACGGTGACATATTAGGATATCAGACGAATCTATCTCGAGTGTTCTATGGAATTCCCTTTGCTCAACCACCTGTAGGCCCATTGAGGTAACGAACTACACGAATGTTCTTGTTCACTTGTGTTTATGTGTGAATAGATGGGAAGCTCCTGTGCCGGTGGTCAGATGGGCTCCGAAAATGATCAATGCTACACAACCACCACCTGCTTGCCCACGACCAAAGAGCACAACGCGCTCTACCACTCGCACTCCATTTGGGGTGAGTCTCTGATACGAAAACAAATGAGCAAATCTCTTATTATAAATTATAGATGTCAGAAGATTGTCTTTATTTGAATATTTTCACGCCGTTATCAGGTGACGTACCGTTGACAGATCTTCTTCCTGTGATGCTTTTTATTCACGGGGGTGATTTCCAATTTGGCGCTGCAACAGAGGCAATATATGAATCTGAACTCTTAGTAAATAACACAAATATTATTATTGCCTTAATTCAATATCGTCTAGGTAAAATTCGTTCTTTTCATCGGCAATTGACGTTTTATGCGATACGTTTGTAGGTGTTCTTGGCTTCTTAGCAACCGGCAATGGTCCGAATGACATTAAGGGCAACTATGGAATACTCGATCAACGTTTGGCGATCGCCTGGGTCAAAAACAACATTAATGCATTCGGCGGGGATCCTAATCAGATCACACTATTCGGTCAAAGTGCTGGCGCACAATCAACTGCTCTTCACTATGTAACTAAAGATATGCAATCATATTTTCAACGGGCAATCATTCAAAGTTCTCCACTAACTATACCATTCAGGTACAAGAATAAAAGTTGAAATCATATATATTTGATTGGCATTTAGAACATATTTGGAAAATATTACACCAACTGTTCTTCTCGCTGAACAGTTACTCTGTTCTCCGAATAACCTATCGTGTTTTCGAGCCCGTTCAACTGATGAAATTACTACTGCTCAAGCTATAGTGAATAAAAAGATTACTTCATTGAACGCGCTGTTTTTTTTCGAACCATGGCTACCAGTTATTGATAATGAGATTGTTCATGGCACATTAATGAACATAATTCCGAA